TGTATACTATAATAGTACCTACTATATTCCTACTTTATTTACTATAAATATAGACTATACATATTTTAAGAAGGTAATTAGATAATTCGTCAAAAACAAGAAAACTTACACACCAAAACTTTTACATATATATTATTCCTACACCTATATCACTATTGACAACTCAAATCTCAAGGGGGATAAAAGAAAATTTATTTACTAAAGTATAATATTAAGTCTCTACATCTATGAGTATAGGTACCTATATATGACTATCGTCTTTTCCCGATGGGCGTTAAAATATATTCATCATTTGTATACCACGGTGCGTACCTACTGCAGGATGAAAACCGTGTAGTTATAGGTACCTTCATATAAACCCGGGGGATGAAATTCGTTGTGAATTAATGGACTCAACTCAAAGGGGGATGAAATTATTGATACATATATAGTATATACATATATTAATGGARACTATATATCCGGTGTCGTGGGCGTCGTCTTCGTCACTTTACTGTAGTACGAATATATATATATATAGTTGTGTAGTAGTGTACGTAGTACCTACCTATATGTATATAATAATATTATGTAGTAGTTAACCGCCATGCGACGATCGATGCGCTTCGCTCGGCTATTCGGCGCTGAGCGACGGCGGCGTCGTCGRAGACGGTAATGGGCGCCGGTCACGACATCGCGTCCGCACGACAACCCGTCCAAACGCCTAAACGCGTGTACTCTCAAACACACACTCACACACAGCGCATTGCCGTATATAATATTGTATCTAACGTCGAGTTAGAAAAAAACCCTCTTACACACACACACACACATACACACCGCGGTAGTGTCGTCGACGAGTCACGAATACATCCGTGTTCATATATGTATTATATTTATAATATAGTCGGTAAAAACAAATTCCCAAAACCTTTACACGCCGCGCGAGAAGATTACACCAGTCRTATCGTCGGCTGTTCAACGGGGGAGGCGAACTGCACTGAACACACACACACATACATGAAAAACCGGTCGTCCGTCCTCTGTGTCACGATCTTTTTTATTTTTTTTTATTCTTTCTTTTTGTACAAATTAAACGTTTCTCCCAGAGCGACGGTGTAATTACACGTGAGGGAGGAGGCGGTCTCTCGAGGGGTATGTCCGTAAATGGTTTTTTTTTTATAAACTCCTAAAATTATCTCGGTATTTTATTATTATTATCATTATAATTTTCCAGCCATCGACGTAAATAATATGTGTAATATAGTATGTCGTGTTCAAAACGACGACGACGACGACGCAGCCGCCACCGTCTGGCAGGCCGAAGAATTAGTTTTTATATTGTAAAATAATAATATGTATAGAGAAAGACACGCACACGCACCCAACAACCGTGTAATTTCGCCACCTCCCACTAATCAAATCAATGCAATTTGAATGCACACGACCACGGTCCTCATATTATTATTGTACATTGAACATTCCGTATCTAGATGAACACARTCCACTACCTAAATATGGTGTCTCTCTTTCTCCCGTAATCCGTTGAACTGCAGTTAAGGGGTAGTATACGAGTATGATATATATATATATATATATAACCGTATATGACTATTATATACACATATTATGTTTATATATAAACTTTGTAGGTCCTCTTCCTCTGCGTGTAAAACGGTTTGTTTTTATTTTTTTGATATACCTTAAAATTATAGTGCGCCGCAAACGACGTTGTATTTCTCGAGTATTAACCGCCGCACTGCACTCTGCTGCCGGACGATGACTGTGTATTGTGTGGATACTGCAAGCTACGATGTATATTATGTAAGATTTATATAGGTAACTAATATAATAAATACCAGCTTGGCATGTACCCATCATATAAAGCGACGACTGCGGCGGTGGTGAACATAATACCTATAATATAGATATAATATAATAGCTCTCTTTTTCACGGATCTCAAAAAAAAAAATAATAATAATAATAATAAAAATGAATCCAAAAAGCCTCCATTGTCTTTCGTATATAAGTATATAATAATAAAAATCCTACGACGAACGATTTAATTTCGTTTTTTTTTCTTAAATTATAGGCGCGCGTTACATTTTTATCTTCCAGTGAGCCTACCTACAATTTACTTCGTATTATATATGTACACAATACGCATATACAATCGTTATTTTCCTAAAAATAATATATCATATGAAAACGGCCGCCTTCCTTTAAACTGTAACCCTTTAGTACACTTAACATGATGATGACCGTTTAAAACAAAATAAYATGTATTTATATATATAGAAGTATATATATTCATCTGTATATAGAGGTATATACGTCGTATACCTACACACAAAACCACAGCCCGACAGTCAACATCGCCGCCGCCGTTAGGTATTATATTATTATTATTATTAAATAATATATTATAGCCGCCGACGTCGAAACAGCGCCGTCGTGTTTACACGCGTCCTCGTGGAATACCCGCTGCGTTAACGCGGTGTTATCCTTTCTTTCCGCTAGTTTTTTATTTATCTATATATTATTATTATTTTGTCAAACAATATAGGTAGATGATTACAAAATGTCAACATAATGTGTGTGTGTGTGTGTGTGTGTGTGTATAACAGAATCTTGCAAATCCTATACCACTAATGCATAATAATAATAATAATAATATATTATATAGACATCATTGTCGTCGTTATTCCAACGCACATCTCATGATAGTTTTGAAGTCTTTGTTTTCACACTTATAAATTATATTGTACACGTTAAACGTATAGTCGATATTACGTGTATGGTACGTATGATGTATAATATATAATATTATTGTAGTATTGTACACATCATCGCGTGGAGGCCAAAAAATCGATGCGTATAAAACCGATGACAGATTATTATTATTATTTTTTTTTTTTGACACAGAAATATTTTCAATTCGGTCACATGGTTGACCTTGCTATGATTTTATTTTTTCTGTCTTTTTGACACTCGTGAGTCGCAATCGTACCTGCAGCACCATTATATATGTACGAACAATTTTTTTCAATCGAAAATATCGTGACCAAGGTCGCGTTTTATTATTATTATTATTATTATTTTTTTTTTTACACGAAATGCGTTTGCCGGATGTCGAATTTCTTTTCGGACACATTTCCATAGCATCTACCTGAATGTATGTATAGTTAGGTATATAAACCTACCAAAGTATAAATGGATATAG